CCTGAGGTCTGTTCCCAAGGGCAGACGTGACAGCTGCTGAGCAGCCAGGAAAACGTCTCCCCTCTGCCCACCCTGTTGTCCTTCTGCCGCCTCTGCATCAGATGATGTGGAACCGGGGTGCAGGGAGCTTGGGAAGAGCCGAGGGAGAGGGACCACAGAGACCACTGCTTCTTGCCCTCAGGGCTTGATCACCACCACAGATCATTTGCACAAAGATTCAGCTGGTCCTGGCAGCTCGGTTTCCCTGATGACCTTGTGTTAGGTCTGCAAAGGTTTGAAAACCCATTAAGGGGAATTTGGCCACAAAATCAAGTCTCAAGAGGGAAACTTCCTCACTCATCCCATGAGCCCATCTGAACACAGGGCACAGTCACCTAAGGAGATTGCCAGACAGGATCTGGGATGGAAGTCTGGACAGTCTGGATAGTCTTCTCAGCACTTCCAAAGAGCCCGCTCAATCTTGGGGGGATCTGCATGGGAAGAGACCGCTGTTGGCACTGTTGGGGCACGGTGCCATGGCCACAGGTCCTGGGGGGTGGGTGGGTCAAGACAGCCAGCTCAGCCTCCACAGCAGTTCAGGTAACAAACACTTCTTAAGAGCCTGCCAAGTGCAGAGCTCTGCCCTCCATGCTGAGGATGAGGAAGACAACAGAAGCGCTGGCTCTAGAAACTGACCAGGGCATGGAGGAAAGACGTCCACAGACTGGAACTAGTAAGGAGGTGGGAAATGTCTCTGCATAGCTGAGCAGCTCAGTCCTCCTTGTGGAGCTGTGTGGGGGCCGAGGGCAGTCCAGTAGGCATGACTAAGGCTTCGTGGAGATGGGAGGAGGAGGGGAGCACAAGGGCATGGAGATGTGCAGAGCACAGGTGGGACCATACAGTGCAGGCTTACCAGTAGGAAGAGGGGGAGAAAACTTCAGGCGTCTAAGATCAGATCAGAAAAGCAAGGTCTTGAACAACACGTTGGGGAGTTCGGACATTATCCCATGAGCAACAGGCACTGGAGGCTTTTGAGCAAGGCACAATGTTGGAGTAGAAAGCGGTGGTTAAGGACCAAGTACGTGGAAGTGGTGAGAATGAATTAAGGGTTGGAGGAAACTACTGGAACCAAGGGAAGTGGGTCAGAAGCTCCTCTGAGTGGTTTAGGATCCAGATGCTACGAGCCTGGATTAGAGTAGGCGCAGGAGTTGGAGGACTGGGGGATGCCCGTTGGGAATGTCGTAAAGATTGCTTGGGAATGGGTAGCATATTTGCTGTGGGAGGGATGGAGGGAGGGAGGGAAAGTGTAAAACTTGAATGAGTAAGTGGTACCCGTGTCAGAAATCGGGAATGCTAGCCACACACCCACACATCCATCAAGGGGCAGGGATAGGGGGTAACAAGCCAGTGCTGTGTGCTCTCTGAGCAACCCGCCCTCTTCTCTCCTCCTCAGCTCTGCCAGGAAAGGTCCTGAGAACCATCAAAGACCTATCATGGAGGAAGAGACAGAGAGCAGGGTAGAGAGGAAGGAGTATTCCCTTGCCTGGCTGTAATCAGTAGTTTGCCCACATTCTCAGAAATCCTAAAATAACCAAAGGAGCTTTGGGAGAAGAGGCCAGGGGACTGAGATCTCAGGGCAGGGGCTCTGAGCTCTACAGCGTGTGAGATTTCCCCCTGGGACATTAAGGCAGGGCACCGGGTAGATAGGCAGACGGGGTTTGAAGGAAAGCCTGGCGGGGAACAAGGTCCAGCCCTTGTCTAGAGATCCTCCTGTGCCCCGCTGCCAGGACACTGAGCGAGGACACAGACCCCTGTCGGGAAGTCAGGCAGAGAAGGGATCCGGGTGCAGAGGTGGGGAGTCTGATTTTGCCTGTACTAAGTTTGACACAATGGCTGGTGCCTGGACAGACAGATAGATCCGAGCTTTGGCGAGGTCAGGGCTGAAGCCCCAGGCTTAAGGTTTTCTTCAGTCTGTTAAATACTTTTTGTTGGGGGGAAAAAAGGGATATAAAGTGATCTAGAGGGCACCATGGATCAGGGAAAGTGTTTAAAGACCGGGCAAACGCACAGAGGGCAACAGGGAAAATTGCTTTTACTTCGCCTGTTTAAAAAGAATCATTTGGGGGGCACCTGGGTGGCTCAGTGGGTTAAACCTCTGCCTTGGGCTCAGGTCATGATCTCAGGGTCCTGGAATCGAACCTGCATCGGGCTCTCTGCTCAGCAGGGAGCCTGCTTCCCTCTCTCTCTCTGCCTGCTCTTCTGCCTACTTGTGATCTCTCTCCCTGTCATATAAATAAAATCTTAAAAAAAAAAATCATTTGGGCTACCAATGGGAGAATGGATAAATAATGGCCTTTTCACAACATGGGAACTGCACCACGATTACAAAATAATAAACTGCTGTGCACACAACAATACGCATGAGTTACACAGACGTAATTTTGAGCAAAAGAAATGAGACCAAAAAACACATTTATGGTTCCGTCTGGATCAAGTTCAAAACCAGGCAAAATAGGGGCACCTGGGTGGCTCAGTGGGTTAAAGTCTCTGCCTTTGGCTCAGGTCATGATCCCAAGGTCCTGGGATCGAGCCCCGCATCGGGCTCTCTGCTCAGTGGGGAGCCTGCTTCCCCCCATCTCTCTCTGCCTGCCTCTCTGCCTACTTGTGATCTCTGTCTGTAAATAAATAAATAAAATCTTAAAAAAAAACAGGCAAAATAATACACTGAGATAAAAACTAGAAGAGTAGTAACTAGGAAGCAGAGTAGGTATGGGTGGGAACGAGGTGCTGGAAAAGTTCTAGAATAAGGTTAGTGATGTACATTCATTAAAAACTCACCAAACTATACATTTCTACATAGAACCCCATACTTTGTGACTCAACTTTTGAAGTTTTAAAAAATGAACAGGACGTATGCTCGTGTCTTATGTCTTGCTGCGTAACAAAGGACTTCAACACATAGCAACTGAAAGCGACAAGCATCCATCACTTCACAGTTTCGGCAGGTCAGGAGCTTGGACGGAGCCCAGATGGGTGGTTCCAGCTCAGGGGCTCCTCATAAGGTTGCCATCAAGATGTTGACGGGGGCTGCTGTCAACTGAAGGCTCTCTTGGGGCTGCTGGATGACCCCCACATGGCTCTCCATGGGTGGCTTCAGTGCCTCGCCTTGTGACCCTTCTCATAGGGCCACTTGGGTGTCATGGCTACATGGCAGCGAGCATCACCCACGTCTGAGAGCAAGATGAAGCCACCTGTCATTTATGATTTAGTCTTGAAGGTGACACACCATCACTTCTGCCATATTCTACTCATTCTACTCATTCGAAGCAGGTCACTGTGTCTCACCTTTGTGAGGGGGGGGAGACTGTCTTGAAAGAGTATTGGAGGATTTGTGGGTCTATGACAATAGCGTAGAACTACACAATGCAGTGTCCCCAAGTGTTTGAAGATTTGGAAGTCTGGGGACAGGGTCTGGGGAGTCCCCTGTGATAGTCAGAATAGCAGCCCCCAAAGACGTGTGGGCTCTAATCCCCAGAACCTGTGAATATACTGTATTACACAGCCAAGGTGAGGCGGGGTTGCTCATTAGCTGACCCTAGAGTAGGAGCAGGCTGGCTTATCCAGGTGGGCCCAGGTAATCACAAGGGGCCTCACCAGGGGAAAGAAGGGGGGGGGGGAAGGGATCAGCGTCACAGCAATGCAGAATGCGGGAGACTTGGCCAGCCATTGCTGGCTTTGACCACGGAAGGGGCCATGAGCCAAGGGATGCAGGCACAGCTTCTAGAAGCCAAAAAAGACAAACAGATTCTCCCCTAGAGCCTCCAGAAAGGATGCAGGCCTGCCAACGCCTCGACTTTAGCCCCATGAGACCCATTTTGGACCCAGTTTGCGTTGTCGTAAGCCGTTCAGTGTGTGGTAATCTGTTAGCGTGGCAACAGGACGAGAGCAGTCTACACCCACCCCTTCTTTCTCCCATTTCTAAATCATTTAGCTTTCATCGTGTGCTGTGATTATTGTCCTTATTTGTAAATGGCCCATATTTTTAATAAACATGTTTATGTCTCCTTTAAAGCTATAAGGTCCTTGAGGGCAAGGCCTAGGTTTGTTCTGGGGTCTGTTTGTTACAAGTGTATCAGAATGTGAATCAGAGGCCTGCACACGTCTCATTATTACGCGGCCCGTTAAGCATGTGATCAGTTATTTGCTAGGCTGGCTACGAGTCCCAGCAGTAAACTTAGCAAAGACAAGAAACAAGAAAGCTGGTGTGAAATAAAATATGGAAGCCTGTCAAGTCCTCCTCCGTTAGACTAACCCCCCACAGTCACATGCCCGGCAGGCGAGCTTACGGAGATCCCATTTTCTCTGTATCCTCTTTTGCTCTCATTTCAAGCTGATGGCCAGGTTAGGGCATTTGGGGCAGGACGCAGAGTGGAGCTGTTGGAGGTCATTGGCTTGTCCCCACTCTCGTACAGGCCTAAGGCCTTTGAAGGGATATGTCTCTTTTCGGTCAGGGGACAGGAAACCATCAGGAGGGTAGAGAGGGTGGAACCCCAGAACCCATGAAGGGAACCAAGTTCCTACAGCAATGGGGCCCTGAGTTCTGCCCTGAGGCAAAACCTCAGGGGAAGCAGTGCAGGCTAGACCCTGGGCCCGGGGGTCCCCCACTCACTCGCCAGCCTTCACACAGTGCAGGAGCTAAGAACAGGAAGGGAGCAGGTGCAAAGGGTAATGGGGTCTCTCCTGCAGCCACACAGAATGGCAGCTGTCATCCTTGGGGCCTCCCTGCCCTTTTGAGCCGGGAGGCCTTTGCAGAACCAGGCAGAATGGTGGGGGGTGCTGGTCAGAGAGGAAGGGGGATGACCCTGAGAATGGCCAAGACAGGCTTTCCCACTGATCCGGCAGGAAGCAGGAAGAGGACTTGGCGTCTGAACTGTGGGGATCTAGGACAACGACGACAACAACAAGTGACAGTCTTGCACACTGAAGTTCGGGGCTGACATTCAAAACAGTGATACCTGCTTTGGCTTTAAACGAAGATTTTAATCTCCAGGTGGGGGCAGGCCTGGGGCAGGGTGGTAGGTCCGAGGGCCACAAGCCTTTGCTGTGCAGCTTGAGGAGTCGGGGGAGGAAGAGCCGGAGCTACTGGTGGGATCCGCGGTGCTCCTAGGTTGGGAGCATGTCCTCCACCACATAGGGTTGGAAGTACAGATAAATCAGAAAGCAGCTCCAGAAGCCAAGGATGAACAGGGTGGCCAGGCTTGATAAGGAAGTTTTCTGCTGCTAGACGGGGGGAGAGGGGCAGGAACGGGAGGCAAGGTCAGCTCAGCAGCCAGTGAGGCACCCCCCACCCCCTCCACGGGAACCTCTGCTCTGGGAAGCAGCCTCCCGGCTGGGGACCCCAAGCCCTCCTTGTCTGGTGCCATGTCCTCTACGACTGAGTGGATGAGGTGGGGGAGGGGGGCAGAGTCTGCATGACCTGGGTGGGATGTGATGCCAACGCAGCCCGAGCCCACTGCCTTTGGGATGACAGGGCACCGGGCTGAAACAAGGACTTCTTACGGGGGTCTACCTACCCCTGATTGTAGTTGTTCTTTAGGGCACACAACAAACATTTTTCCTGTAGAGGACAGAAACGGCACAAGAAAGATCATTTTTCCCTGGTCCAAGATGGCCAGCCTGCTGGGCACCCCATCGGATCTTGCTATAGGAGAGGACAGAACAATACAGTAGTACTCAAGAGTAGGTCCAGCCAGGGTTGGGTCTTACTTGGTCATGGCTTTGGAATCCCCCTGAGCCTAGAGGGCAGGACCCTAGAGAGGGTTCCAGGCTTGGGAGGCATCTGGGGCCAACAGAGGGGTAGACCCCATCCCTTCACAGCGAGAGGTAAGAGAGTGAGAGGACCCAACAGGGGGGTGGCGGGGGGGAGGGGGCGGTCAGGGAGCAGCAGGAGCCTGGGGGGTAGCACCAGAGTAAGGGGGAGGTACGGTTTCACTTACACAGCATGGCCCGCATTGATGAAGGGAATCCAGAGGGTCCTTTTTTGGTTTCTGTAGTGCCATCATCTTCTTGTGGAGAGAAAGCGGTGTTCCATCAGCCCCATCCATCTTCTTGAGGCGGAGCTGTGGGTCCGGGTCTATTTTTCCTATTAGCCTGAGTTCTTGCTGATCCTTTGGCCCTCTTCTAAGGGGACTGGGGAGTCAGGGAGGGGCAGAGTTGGGGAGACCATTTCCAACATGACAACGAGATAACCATAGTGTGGGCAGCCAGGGAAGACCTTGACCCCAAGCCACTGCGGTTCCGGAAACCAAGAAAGGACCGTGAAGAGTCTGAGAGTCCTCCGGACCCGAGGACACTTAGCAAAGTGAAGGGAGGAGATTCGTTAGGGATGAGGAGAGATGGGTGTGCGTTACACTTACAGCTTGCTGTTCTTCTGTATATTTATTAAAACATCCATCTTCTCATCCATATCCTTCTGCATTTCCTTCAAGAGAAAATCCAAAACGAGAACGGTCACGCTGAAGGGCGTGGGAAAGCCTTTCCTCTCGCCTCTGCCGGCCGCTCAGAGATGACCTCAGCATCCTCCTCCCTCAAGAATCCTCACAGAGGGCGCCTGGGTGGCTCAGTGGGTTAAGCCTCTGCCTTTGTCTCAGGTCATGATCTCAGGGTCCTGGGATCGAGTCCCGCATTGGGCTCTCTGTTCGGCAGGGAGACTGCATCTCCCTCTCTCTCTACCTGCTTCTCTGCCTACCTGTGATCTCTCTCTCAATGTCAAACAAATAAAATCTTAAAATAAAAAAAAAAGAATCCTCACTGGCCTTGGGGGACACACGCCCCCACTTCCCCGCCCTCACCCACTTCATGCCGAGGCCAAAGCACAAGCAGGGTCGTCAGGGGCTCCTCCAAAGTCTCCAGAGGACTCAGAAGCCACGAAGTCTTTTTACCTGATTCCACACTTGGATAAGACTCTTATCTGCTTTGGCTCCATGCCTATAAAATGATGGAGCCGAGAAAATAAATCCTGTGACCCAACCCTCAAAGACACTTTTGACTCCGATTTTCTGACCCCTGCACCCAGATCCTGTGCATGTACGTTTGCTCCTTCTTTAACCCGATTTCTGGCAGAAATGGTCAACATAAAAGAAATAGTAGCTCAAAATGGCACATCACATCTATTATTTACTAAGAACTGAAAGAATAGTAAAATCCTCTTGACAAGTTCAGACCTGTAAAGTTTGATCTGGAAAAATTGGCCACAAAAGAAGGTATAGAATGGCAGAGGGTATCACGGATCGTCTCTGTTCTGGAGAAACACAGGGTTGGCTTGAACATGATAGAATATAAATGAAGTATAATTTGCTTCCAAAAATAATTTTAATAAAAAAAAATGAAACATTTGGCAAGAGTTTACTGATCTGCAGTGGAAAACTGGTCAAGGAACAACACACTCTGGGTGGAGAAGATTTCAAAACTACCTTCTTGAAAAGCATTTTTAAGTGCTATACATTTTGACTAAAATATCTGTACTCAAAAACACGGCAAAAATATCCTTTTAGTGGGAATGTCCCTGGGTTCAAAATATCAGAGTCAAAATGTCCCCCTTCTTAGAAGTCTCACTGTTACTTCAAACTCATGTCCCATAGTGATCTCCTGGTTTCCTGTTCTAAATCAACTGCTTGCCAACTGTCCTTGTCATGGTCACCACTTCCTTCGACCTGTCTGGGTTGCCTCTGGGGTCATGGACGCTTGCTTCCCCTTCATTCTCTACGTTGCATCAGTCACCAAGAGTATTATTTTTCCTTCGATGCATCTTTCAGATTTACTGTTTTCCTTCTGTTCCCACACCTGGTTCAGCGTCCCTCCTCTTGAGCAGGGATGTGGCTTCCTGCCTGATCGATTGCTCCAGACAGCCCCCACCCCCAGTCATTCGTTCCCCTGACCCACACCCCTCCAGGCTACCTTGCAAACAGCTGCCCGCTCAGGCTTTCTGAAGTGCTGCTTCTAGCATGTTCTTTGATTAAGAATCTCCTGAGGCCTCTTACTGCTTACACAACCAAGTCCCAACCTGTCTGCCGGTCTTTCAGAAGCCTTCACTGTCTACTGCCTTTGAGCCCATTCTATTTCTCAGTCTCCCCAGATGATCCCACGTGTAGGACTGATCTCCCCACTGACCGTGATACACTTCATCCTGCTTCTGTGCTGTGCCCAAGCTGTTCCTGAGCCCAAAATAACCTCCTTTGTGCCTTTCAATCCCCAGTCCTGCCCACTAACAAAACACCGTGTGTGCATTTTCATATAGAAATAATACACACCCTTTGTAGAAAATTTGGGCAATATAGGGGAGTATAAAAGAACAAATTAATCTCATCATCTAACAATAATTGTTATTAACCCTTTGGGTATATTTCTTTCTAGTCTTTTTTCCAAATATTTACTTAGTTATTTTTTTTTCACTTCACTGAGATCAGCCTGTATAGATTATTTGTATCTTGCTTTATTACTTCTCATTATAAGCATTCTTTTTTTTTTTTAAATGCACTTTCTATTTTGAAATAATTTGGGATCTACTGAGAGTTGCAAAGACAGTGCAAAAGAGTTCCCACATGCCTTTTCCTCAGTTTCTCCTTAATGGGAACATCTAACTCAACCACGACGTCGTTCTTATTTTTTTTTTTTAAGTAGGCTCGACGCCCAGCATGAGGCTCAAACACATTACTCTGAGGTCGGGAGTCATGTGCGCTGCCCACTGAGCCAGCCAGGTGTGCCTAAAAGCATCCTTTCTAAACACTCTTTCCAATAGTTCCTAGTTTTCATTCCACAGATACACCCTAATTTATTTGGCTATTCCACTGTTGAAAACTGTCGTTTCCAAATTTCTGCCATTATAAATAATCCTGTGATGAACATCTTTTTACATACACCCACACTAGTATTTCGGATTATTCTCATAGGTTAAATTGTGAGACGTGGAATTAATAAGTCAAGGGGTTTGATATTTTTTTGATACCTATTGTCTAATTTCTTTCCAATGTTTTATAGACCTACACTATGACCCGCAGTATAAGAGTACATTTCTGCCTTGTTCTATAATTGTCATTAATTCAAAGTTCGCTTATTTGGTCATCTGGGTGGCTCAGTCGGCTCAGTTTCTGACTCTGGATTTCAGATTCAGTCATGATCTCAGGGTCGTGGGCTGGAATCCTGCATCAGGCTTCATCCGCCTGGGAATCTCTCTCTCCCTCTCCCTCTGTGCCCTCTCCCCACTGTTGCACACCCACACTTTTTCCTCTAAAATAAATAAATAAATACTTAGAATCTTAAAAAAAGCAAGTTTACTTATTTGAATGTGACCTAAGAATTATTTTCATTTGGCATTTAATTGATTATGCATGAGGTAAACCTTTTAAATACATTTATTGCTTTTGAGTTGTATTTTCTTTTGTGGATTGTTTGTTCATACCCTATGCCCATTTTCCTGTTTGGTTCTTATTGATTTATGTGAGCTGGATATGTTACAGACAAAAAACTTTTATCGGTGTTTATCATATTTGCAGAAAATTATTTCCCCCAAATGGTTGTTTGCCTTTTAATTCCATACATGGAACTTTCCTGTTATGTTTTTTAAATTTTTTATATCGTTAAATATATCAATATTTCCTTTGTGACTTCTTCTGTTGTATCTAGACCATCTGGTTAAATATTTATACATAATTTACTCTTATTGGTTTTTATTATTTAAATTCACTTTATGGACTATTTCAGTTTTTACAATGTTAACTGAATTAAGTTTTTCTTCATATAATCAAGCAGTATTAATATGAATGCATAATCTTTTTCTTCCTTCATATAATCAAGCAATGTTAATACAAATACATAATCCTTAATAGGAATACATAATCCTTTTCTTCTAACATGTAAAAAAAATCATCTTTATTATGTTTTAAATTTTATCGAGCTGTGGTTCCCAACTTTGAGCTTACAATGGAATCACCTCATGATCTTTAAACACTACTGATCTTTAAACACTACTTTAAACACTACTGATCTCATCTCAAGAGGTTCTGATTTCATCGGTATGGAGTGCAGCCTGGGTAGAAGGTCAAAGCTACAGTACAGGAGATTGCAATATGGAGTCAAGGTTAATAACCACTGCTGAAGTGTTTAGGATCTGGTTGTTATGCAGAGAAAAGCACCAGAATCACTTTGAGATTTTTAAGCAATGGTGGTTCCCCCTGGAGATTTTTATTCGGTTCATCTGGGCCAGGGCCTGGGTATACTGATTTTTCAAGTCGTCCCAGGCGTGCCGGGTGGAAAGGTTGTTAATAGAGTTATCTACACTGGTTTTGTTCATTTGGCTGGTTATCTAGACAAGATTATTGTGGCTTTGAATGAATTTTAGATCTCTGGCAGGGGTAGTATCCCCTGATAACTCTTCAAACCTTAAAGATATCTTCCTTTGCCTATTTATGCTTTTACATCAGTGGTTCTCAAATCTTCATCTGGAGAATGTAGAAAAAAAAAAAAACAAAACCCAAGGGGCTAAGCCCCCTCCAAATTGGACCTGGGCTCTATTTTTTTATGCTCCAGGAAATTCCAGCACACATCCAGGTTTGAGAACCACTATCCTAGAGTCTAATGGTCCTCCACGTAACGTCTGAGTTCAAAACTAAGCTTATTGGGCTTTTGCTTAGATTTGCATTAAGCTTCTAATGTAGCCTTCAAAGCTCACCTTAAGATTCACTTCCTTTGTAAGGCTTTGTCTGGTTACCCTGGCCCACATTTTTTCCTTATTTCTCCAGACTCCTAGTTAACTCACGCTCTCAGGCAGCTTGGTGCTTGCTTGCTTGCTTTTTCTTTCTTTCTTTCCACAGAGTTTGGGTCTTCCTACCAGACTGTCAAGTGGCTGCACGGCAGGGTCGGGCCTTTCCTTCCATCATTTCTAGTATGGAACCAGCTCAGTAAATGCTCACCTTCATAATCTCCACGAATTCCTGGAGTTTATCAAAATCCTTGTCCATTACGCCCTTTATCTAACGAAGAAGAAAGGCAAAGCACATATTACTCAATGAGGAGTCATCTCTGGGGCGTTTTAAAAAAAGCAGGACAGCAGCTGCTCCTCGCTCTGGAATGAGCTGGATAAAGTTCAGGGAACGGACGAGTCGTGGCCTGTCAAAGCCCCATTCTTCCCAAGGAGTCTAGGAAGGGACGAGGGTGCATGTAGCATGAAGACGCACCCCCCCACCCGCCTCCACCAGCCTGGGCGGGGCTCGGATCTAGCTACTGCAAGGCTTCCCTGGGAGCTCAGCCCACAGTTTCCAGTACTCCTCCTTGCTTAAGCACCACCTCTCAAGAGCGTGCCATAGGTGGTTCCATCCAAGAAGCAACAGGAGAGTTTTGTTCCTTTTCGGAGCATGCTCAAGGGAGGAGGGGAGGAGAATGGGACTGGTCCCTGACGCCCCCCACATTCCAATCAGTCCCTCTCACTCTCACGAAGGTTCTAGCTCCTCAACCGTCAATGTGACACCTTAGAGAGTTCTTGGCGTTCACAGCCTGGGTTTAAGCATCAAACAAAAAGAACTAGATCTCCTGAGCTGCCCAGCACCAAAACACGGGAGGAGATCAGGCTGAGGTAGGCTAGGGCTTTTTCCACGAAATTCTGGATTCCTCTCGCTATTCAGAGGTCGGCACACATTTTCTGGGGTCCTACCCTTTCCCTCCGTGTCCTGAAAAGTCTCATCCTGTTACCTGTTTGATCTCGTCCATTTTTTCCTTGAGCTCTTCCCTCACCTCCCTGAGTTCATTCTGAGGAAATAAAACAGGGAAGAGAGGAAGGAGTTAAGGCCATGTCCTGGGTGGAAGGAAGATTCTGGAGCTATGCTCATGAGGAGGGACAGAGAGACACCTCCTGCTACGGGGGAAGGAAAGGATGCTGTTAAGAACATGGGAGAGTGGGACATGGAGACACCATATGCTTCCGAATAAGATGCCCTGAAGGGTACACCTTCACTTCCATGACCCCCCAAAATGTGCAGCCACCATCTAACCACTGGGGAGCATCAGGCCACCCAAGTGAAGGGTCAGTCTGCAAAACAAATGACCTATAATCCTCATAAAAGACAATGTCCCCAAAAAACAAAGGTTCAAGAGCTGTTCCAGATGGAAGAAAGCTAAAGGAACACATCAAAACAGTTGTTTTTTCTTCTGTTAGGAAAGACCTTAGTGAAACAATTGGTGAAAATAGATTAAGCACTGAATCAATGTTCATGTCCTTTGATATTTTGATCATTGTACTGTGGTTATGTAAGAGATTGTTCTTATTTTTGTTTTTAGACAGTATACACTGGAATTTGAGAGAAACATGCTCTCAGATGATTCAGGAAGCCTATATTATACGTTTGTGTGTGTGAATATATATATATAGGGGGGCTGGGGGGACCATGATCAAATGTCAATGTTTCAGAAATCTGAGCGAAGAGTAGACTAGAATTCATGGCACAATTTTTTGAAAAATTTCCATAAGTCTGAAATTACTTCAAAATAGAGAGTTAAAACAAAACAAAAAACAACAGAGGAAGTAAAGTCACGGGTGCTGGGGCAGAGCCATAGACGCCAGCAGTGGACCCACCCAGGCCAGAGTCGGGGGGCCCAGGTGTCCACAGAGCCCTGCCAACCCCACCCCTGGGCCGGCACACCTACCCTTAGCTCATGAGTTCCTCCTGCTTTGGTAAACGGCCCTTCTTGTTTTACTCCTTTGTAGTCGTATGTCTGTTGGTGGAAAGCAGAAACACAGAATGTTGGAAATTGCAGGTGTGGGGTGGAGAGATCTCCTGAGTCTTGGTTCCTCCTTTTGGGCCTGAGCAGGCGGAGGTGAGAGCTGGCAGCCCCTCCTACACAGGAGTTCCCACCACCTTCTCCACTCACTCCAAGCTCATCATGCTCTGCCCTCCTGGCCCCATGAACAGCCAAGCCCATTCCTGCCTCAGGCACCTTGCACGTGCACCTGCCTCCACCCACAGCACCCTTCCTCAGCCTTCCTGCTGTGCTCAGGGCCCGACCTCCCTATTTTAATTCTCTGTCTAGCAGGTGACACTACTGAGTTTTCCTTATTTATTCCGCATCAGATCGGTCACTAGTGCTAAGTTCTGTGAGAGCAGAGAGCTTGTCTCTCTCTCTCGTGTATTCCCCAGCACCTGGGACAGGTCTTGGCCACCAGGAACAGCGAATGACCCCTGACTCCAAGTCACCTCCCCACGGGTCTCAGGCCTGGCTGTCGGCATGGCCTCAAAAAAGCTTCTTACTTTGGTCGGCTCTGGCTTCAATTCCAGGCACACTGCCTTGTAGTTCTTGCTCTGTGGAGGGAGGAGGTGGGCTGTCCGCCTGTCAGGTATCAGGACTGGGGGGATCACACCAGCCCTCTCGAGGGCCCCTCGCCCAGGCCTGCCTGTCCTCCTGCACCTGAGCTCAGGCCCACAGACTGCCCCCGCACCCAAGGACCCGATTCAAGACAGCCCGGACCTGGTCACCTTATCTTCCTTTTCTGAGCTCGCACCTGCCCAGGCAGCGGGCCATCCTCTCCCTGCAGAAGCCTGAGCAGGGAAAGCACTTGGAGCTAACTTTATGGAAACCGAGTGGGTATCATTTCGGGAGCGTGGGCTTTGGGGAGAGACGGACGCCTGGTCTAACCTCAGCTGCTTCCTGACTGGTTGTGCCACCCGGGAGGTCATCTAGTCCCTCTGAGCCCCCATTTCCTCACCTGCAAATTGGGGGCGCAAATCCCATCATCTAACATGGTGCTTGTGTGCCAAGGATGTGCCCTTCGCTGGGGCCTGGCATGGCCTGGGCTGGGGGAGGGGGTTTGGGGGTGACAGGACCATTACTTTGGTCTTTGTCCCAGAAGGAGTCAGCAAAGGTGTCTTTCCTTCCCATCCCCAGGCAGGGATTAATCCCACCCTCCTTCCCGGCTGAGAGGCCACTTGGAGCTCAGAGCAGAGAAAGAAAAGTGGGGGATTTATCAGAGAGCTCTGTGGACCCCCCCACCATCCCACAGCTCCGTCCTGCGGGAACTCAGAGAGGCCCCCATGTCCAGCAGTGTTCCTCCCTTACCAGGCTTGTTTTCTTCAGTTCTGCCTTCTTGGCCGACATGATGGAGGAGGCCAGAGTGTTCTTTAACTTCCCAACCTCCCCACAATGGGCCCCTGTGACCAGGCCACTGTCCTATGCAGATTACAGGCCAAGGCAAGGGCAGGATGACCACCTGTTTGTGTGCGAAATAGCTGAGGTCACAATGCCCAGCTCCCCCTGCTGGCGGGCAGTGTCACCACAGCTTCGAGCTGCGGGGGGGCCCCTGCCCCTGCGATGAGGGACAGTGCAGGTTCTGAAGCCATGAGGTTGCCCTCCTGCAAGGGGGAGGGGGGTTTTCCTGCAGAGTCCCCCCTGCTGAGGACCTGGCCTCATGTGGCCTCAGCTGCAGGCACAGCTCCCCAGGAGCGAGAGCTGCTGTCTCCTCCCCCAGCAGGATTTACCCACCAGGAGGTGTCCCCAGACAGCTGGTTCTCCCCTGAGTCTGCACGGAGTTCTGCCATGACGTCCCCATGTGGACAGACCCTTCCTTGGCTCCAGAGCTGTCTTGGGTTCAGACGCAGCCAAGTCCCCCTGGTTCAAGGTCCATGAACCGCGCTAACCTGCGGGGAGAGGGGGGTGCCGATCTTAGCAGGATGGCTTCTGATACCCTGGTCCACCTGCACGGCTGGTCCTGCCCCTCTCTCCCCTGCACCAACCCAGTCTCGTCTCTGGGTTCCTCTATCATCCCGCAGGAGGGCTGGAGCAAGAAGCAAAGCGTGCACAGTGCTGACGATGAGAAGCATCTGGGGGGCAGGGGGAAGGAGACAGAGGCCCTCTGAGGGGGGCTGTAATTTGTGCCTGAAGAGTCAAAGGATCCTGGCCTCTCCTGGGACCTAAAATCATTCAGAATCTGGCTCGAGAGCCTGATTTCTCTTTTCTTGGTTTTCTTGGGCATTCTACCTCCTCCCCTCTCATTTCAAGGACGAGCTGCTGTCCAAAAGGCCAACGGGCAGGAAGGGCCGCAGGTGGCATGGGAAGCCCGAGCTGTCCCACTCACCTGTCCCTCCCAGAGGCCGTGAGCGCGCCCACCTCCCCAGGGGCCGTGGCATTTCCCAGGGGCTTGTTTCACAGCCCCGCACCTGCTGACAGCTGCTGCTCTTAATCCTTCACAACCAAAGTGTCTATCACTCTGTTCATTTGGGGAGGGGAGGGGAGAGCTGCCCAGGTGCCTTTTCCTGCTAGTCAATGGGGGCGGGGGTGGGGGTAGAGAAACTTCCAGGTCCCCTGAGCACTGGACTCCGTCCTCCCAGATCTGCCGGCCACAGAGCAGGACGGTCTTCTCTGTACAGGTTCCCAAAGACCCTGCAGCCTTGAGCAGAGACCTGCAGGGAAAACGACAGACTCCATCTCAACACTCACCAGCCCCGTGGAGATGGGCACCGTGTCCCCTCGGTGTGGCCTTGACATCCTCCTGCGCCCGCAGCGACGTTCCCTCTGCCTCGCTGAAAGGTTGCCAGCTGAGCCTCCTTCAGGCCGCATAACCCATGAGCCCACTGGCCTGTGTATCGGGAAATTGGGTCTAAAAGAAATCAGGGTCTCCCTGGAAAACTGCTTTATAAATTACACACATAACACTTCTCGTCATTTGAGCAGGCGATGACAACCGACCCGTGGCTCCTGGCTTGTGCCTCCTCACAGCCTGTACCAGTCACGCATCCAAATCCATCAGCAGCGTCGTCAGTGTGTTCTGGAAGGGCCGAGGAATCCACCATCTTGTATTACTTTCTTCTGAGAGATTTTGCCACGGCATGAGACACCACCAAACAGCACTGGGACACCGGACACTGCTCTGACAGAACGTGGTCACATGCAAGCCACAGGCTGCTCTGACCAGAAGAATGCAGGCTCTGCCTTTCCGAACCCCCCTTCCTGGCAAAAAAAAACCCAGCGGGACAAGGGCAGGGGCCACGAAGCCCACAGACGTCCCGATGGAGTTTGGTGGAAAAGGGGGGTTCACAACAGAGAGAAAACAGAAGCCGCATGTCTCTTTTCTCTAAATCGGTGTCATTTCAACTTTCTTCTCTTCACAAAGGTCTTGGTTTTTTAGTTTCATGAAGACAATGTTGTATGGGAGGCTGATGGGGGGAGGGGAATTTAAAAATAGCTTTGGGGCCTCTGAGTTTGGCCTCTTGTGATTCCAGAGGTGACCCAGTGTTCCACAGCCCTTGGATGAGGACACAATATTTCATAAAGGTGCCCCGGGGGGCCTGACAGCTGTGGTCTCCAGTCAACCTTGCACTGACATGGTTTAACACAGATGACCTGGATAGTTCGCCCTACAACACCCCGTGACGCACTTGGTGTCTGCACTCTCGGCTTCCTAGCCCCAGGGAAGCGCTCTCGTACATTTTTTTAGAGCTTTACCATGATTGGTTACTGCACTGTCCTACTTGACTGATTTATAGACACCTCAGAAAGCTCTCCCCTATGCCGGGGAGATCTCTTTTCTCATCGACACGTTGGTTACTGTGCAATTTCTGATCATTTCTATAAATATCATGTCAGACCTTGGTGAGAATCATAATCCTATTATATTGTTTCGATGAAAAAATGACATCTAGTTTCTATCATGAACTTCTAGTAACTCTACTTCAGGGAAAAAATATATTCTGGGGTCACCTGGGCAGCTCAGTCAGTTAAGCATCTGCCTTCGGCTCAGGTCACGATCTCAGGGTCCTGGGATCAAGCCCTGTGTCCAGCTCCCCACTCAGTGGGGAGTCTGCCTGTCCCTCTCTCTCTGCCCCTCCCCTGACTCATGCCCACTTTGTGTCTCTTGTAAATAAATAAAATCCTTTATATGTGTGTGTGTGTGTGTGTGTACACATATATGTAATATTCTGAACAGATTGTTGTAAATCTCCAGATAATTCGACACAGCTAATGGTAAGTAAGAAGTCAGAGCACAGTTATTAGGATTGCAGGCTTTTTTTAACCTATGCGTTCCCCCACGTGGGGACGTGTCTGTCAGGGCCTTCCAGGACCCAGGGCAACCTGTTACAGAACAGCCTGCTCTGTAAGATAAAGAGCCACCAAGTCACCACCTCTCCTGCTCCTGCTAAACATGGCTCCTGGGACCTCCTTACTTGGCCGGTGTCCCTTTACTCTCTTTGGAGGGAGTCCAGATAGAGCACGGCAATTATACCCCTGCCTATTTTGGCATCCCTTTTTAGACATTCCCCATGGCTGCTACCCTAGACCCTAAAAGCCTCCCCCTACCTCCGACAGCTTCAAATTCCATCACTGAAACCATACACCTGAGTGGCACAGTGGCCTCTCTGGGTTGGCCTTTTGGGGACTAGGGTTTGCCTGGTGTCTGTGGAGGATGGCAAAGGGCAGGGTTCTGTGGGCTGGTCCAGGGGGCAGCCTGTATGACGCTGCCTCCCACTTTTTTGGCTAGGACGCAACCACAAGACCACACCTAACTGCAAAGGAGGCCAGGGCACGTGGCTGAGCTTCTCCCGGGAACACGAGGAAAGAGGCGTAAGCAGCAGGTAGCCGGACTCTTCCGCAGCCCATCCTTCCTGTTTCATTCTAACAAGTCTCCTTGCACCAAAACTTGAGTTAGGGTTCTTCTGGTTTTTTGTGCAAAGGGAGGAAGCTGACAAGATCAAAAGGGAAGGCTACACAGGACACTGGAGCTGGGATTAGCCCTCCTACCTCTCGTCATCTGAACTGCCCACAGGCTAGTTTATCGACACAGAGATTGTAATAATGATCCCGTTTGTCCAAGGTTTCATAATCCCAGTCTACCCCTGACCCCTCCTGCAGATCTCCCTCCCTCCTGCAGGTGCTGGAATGTGGGTCTACTCTGAAGCTCTGAAGCTTTTCTTGCTGTTCCGAGCTGAGTAGCTCTGGGCCCCCAGGTGACTGCCAGCACCTTCCCTGGGGGATGGGCCCTGCTACTGTCCCCTTGGCTGAGGGTACATAGCCTGTTACAGATGACCCTCTGTGTCTAATTCCAGGAAGCCACCTGAACGTGACCCCTGCCTGGGGACACCTACTGGTGGGACACTGACAACAGCTTAGATGGGACTGAAGTTTTCCATCACTTAGAGACACTGAATGCTGGTTATTCTCCTATGGGGTCAGGCTGGAAATTGCTGTTTTCATACCTGGTTTACTTTCTGTGTTTGCCCATTTTGCCCCCAGGGTCATTAGTACCTCAGAGCTGGGTCCATGTGAAGAATGGTCCAGAAGGTGCGAATCTTCTTCCCTAGGTAGATGTTTCCGGGCTTGCACTGAGAAAAGGGAATCTCTGACCTCAAGCTGTGGATAGTGATCAAAGCAAGGAAGCTTGTAGAGCCAACAGTCGCATGGAGAGATCAATGAGCTAGAGAAGGTCAATGAGCTAGGGAGCCACTGCGGAGACAGGGAGAGAACCAATCCTGGCACAGGCGGGGCCAGCCTGGAGGGCTCTCCTGGGCGGCCAAGTTGCAAGGGAAACCTTAGTTCATTTAAAGACTAAGAACTGAGCAGTTTCCCAGAATCTGATGCAGAGCTGTGGATTTTTTTTTTCCTTTACTGGCAAAAAGGCACTGGTGGGAAGCTAACCTCTGTCCAGCTCCCAGTCCGAGCGTGAGGAAACGCCCGTGCCGAGGCATCTCATCATCTCCGTTCTCTGCTGTGGGCCTGAACACCCCTCCTGCAGGCTGAGTGTTTGCCCTTCCACTCAGCCTCCCCACAATCAAACCAGATAATGTGGGTTCTCTCTGCAACTAACCCCGACTGACAGAGTTGGCCATGCCTTCCTGCTAAGTGCAGGTCGTTGGGAGCTCACACACGTGTGGCAGTAACTCCTGGCTGGTGACCCATGGGGACATTATCTATGGAAATGTCAAGTACTTCTATTTGATGACATCCTGTAGATCCTCGAGGTTGGTAATTTTCCTTAGTGGCTATGATGAGTGAAGGGGGTGTGGAAGCAAGTCCTTCATGGTTTTTTACATTGAGTACTTTCCCTTGACTTTTTTTTTTTTTTTTTTTTTTTCCAAACATCAGATAGTTTTTATAGCGTCAAGACACCTTGGCTGGGCTTTTCGTCCCAAGAGGCTGACAGCGTGTCAAGCTGTATGTTGGTTCTGCAGGGAGTGCTTTCTCCAGAAACCTTGTTCAGCTGCTTGGAAAAATTCT